ATTTCAGGAGCCCCTTCCCCTCCCCCATTTCTGAAGAAGGGTCTAGGCCCGAAACATCAGCTTTCCTGCTCCTCCGATGCCGCTTGGCCTGCTGTGTTCATCCAGCTCTACACCTTGTTATCTCACAATACTAGGCTGTACTGTTCCAAGGTACATTTTACCTTTTTTTTCGAATCAACCTGTTCAGAGATATTAGTATACACCTCTAGAGCAGGTGGGACTTAAACCCGGACCTGCCAGGCCGGGGTAGGGACACTACCACTGCACCACAAGAGCCCTAAGGCCGATTTACAGGCTGTGTTCCATTGTATACGTATCCTAGACTTTGACTGGATGCGAATACAAACGGCCTGTCTACTTTGGAATATAAGGCATTATCCTGTGCATTTCTTGCCTCCGAGATTACTGGCTAATGCCATATACATGTGGAAGAATGACCTACACGCCTCCTGAGAACATCTGAAGAATTAAGAGTTGAACCTATCCTGACGTCCCACCTAATCTCTGCGCGCATTTGCACTAATTGAAAAAAAAATCGAAAGATAACACGTAAAAGTACAAACATCAGAGCTCTGAAAGCGGTAAACATATTCCTCTCTCTGGATAGCTGTGTCCTAGGTCATCGCGTCACAAATCTCTGCCAATGACAGTCGTCGCCAATCATTTTTTACATAAAGGCGGTACAGTGTATATATAAATGTTGTCCCCGGTCTCATCTTGTATATGTAGAAAGAGGGCAAGATAAAAGGAATCTGATTAAACTTCCAGGATGTTTCCACTGGCCGGAGAGATCAGAAGTCGGGTGGAAAGAGGATGGAGTACTAAAAGTGCAACGAACTGTTTGGTGCAAATTCGATGTTACTACTACATGAAGTCATTTCTCAGAATTTACACGGTTCAGCTTGGAAACCTCAGCAGGATGCCTAGATTAATATCTTATCGCCACGCTGTACATTTGAGTACATTTTCAGGTTTAATACCCAAGTAAATTGTGTTTTTTTCAAGATGTGTATTTCGGTCTTCTGTCTTATTCCAATCGTCCTTTGCAAAGACCAGAGGGAAGGTTTGCCTGCTGCCTCGTGTGGCGCCCAGTCCGATCCCACTGACAGCACCAGCTTCCAATGAATACAAATAAACGAGCCTTGCCCTGACGGAGGAGCTCGACTTTCAAGTTCAGCTTCGAGCCATTACTGCATTGTTGATGTCATTCATATTTTGTTAGACATTAATTTATCTACATTCTGCGCCGACCAACCTCTGATTGGGTTCTGAATTTCTGTTAATGACCATGGTTTTAAACTTTTTTGTTTGCGTTTGCTACTTAGTAAACCGACCATTTAAAACATACACCTTGAATTCCGTGCAATAAAGCCATGCAAATATAAATACACATACGTATACACACACACACACACACACAAAATGCTGACTAATTACAGTTTGGAATTTAATAGAAGTCTGAACTGGAATGAGGGTCGGAAATCCACTCATTCTCCTTCATCTCGCCGAATTCTCTGAAGCTGCCTGGGGAGCAGCTGCAATGAATTCAAGATCCAAGAACAAAGACCAAGAGCACAAATCATGCCCCGATCGGAACCCTGTCCCTGGTGACATTCCCCGAAGCAGCCCTATTATGGTCACAGTTGTATAGTTAAAGCCCGCCAGGCGCGCCTGACTGTCTATTGCCGAGTAGAATGTGCAGATATGAGCCCTGAAATTCGAAGTGAAATCGAGAAATATTAAAAGGCATTTCATTGAAAGGCAGCAGCGCCCCCTTCACGGAAACATACTCCATCACAGCAGTACCACGGAGCATACAAACCACCCCACCCCCACTCGGTTCACCAAGGTTACTAAGTCATCAAGGTTCAGCTCGATTCCAAAACGGATGGTCAATGAACGTGGTATTCCAAGGCTGTTTCCAGTTGTTGATACATTTTAGTCGTTAGCAACTCACCACTCTCTATTTTCCTTTTATTTACACCACGCAAGGTTAAATCACTTGGGATTCTAACTCGGCGCCAACTTCCGGGGCTCACACTGCAATTAGAATTGCATTTTATGTCATGCATTGACAAAAAAAA